ACACACACACACACACACACACGAACCACAAATGGCCAATGAATATGTGGGGAAAATGCTCAGTATCATTGGATATCAGGGAAAGGCAAACCGAAGCTACAAGGCCTATCATCCTACTTCAGTGAAGTGGATATCACTGAAACACAGTAAAAGCAACTTTAAACACACAGAGAGCAGCAAGTGCCAATGAGAACACAGAAGAAAAACACTTCCACCCACTGTGGATGAGAACAGCAGTTACTACAGCAGTTAGAGAGAACAACATGGAATTTCCTTAAAAAGACAGAAATTAGATCTATCTCGAAGTCCAGGAATTCCACTTCTGGGTATACATCCAAAGGAAATAAAATTATACCAACAAGATACCTGCATAACCATGTTTATTTTAGAACAACTTAGAATAACTAAGATATAGAACTATGCTGAGTGCTAAATGGCAGAGATCTTGGTGAATAAAATACATTATACATACAAAGAAATATTATACAGCCATAAAGAAGAATGAACTGGAATTTCAGAAATATAGATGAAAGTAGAGAACATTATGTTAACTGAAGTAAATCAGACACAAAAAGCTAAAGAATCCTATGTTCTGTCTTACTTCTGGAAGTTAAAACAGAACACAACCTGGATACTGAATATTAATTAACAGACAGGGAGGTGTGTGTATGTAGATGAAAAACAGATAAACATAGGTTGGATCTGACCAGTACCCACTGCATCCGTGCTTCGAAATACCAAATGGAGCTGTGTTAGTACCTACTAATCAGATAAGATGTTTTTTTGGTATTTCTGAAATAAACTTTCTCTTTGATAATTTCACACACCTATAAACTGCATTTTGATCATCCACCTCTACCCTTTCTTTTCCTCTCCCACCTTCAAACATCTTCCCTTCTTCTGTACAAATGCCGTGCCCACTTCTGTGACATTTTGTTTAGATTTTGGTTTTGGTTTATGTCCAGAGCCATCTACCATGGAGTGTGGGGGACTCAGCAGTAGCCACACCATTGAAGACAATGATCTGTTTGCCTAGCAGTCATCCGTAGCAAAAAGTTATTCAAGGAGGGGTAGGGCCTTTTTCCAAACATGCCTGCCCTTCCACAGGCCCAGTCTTGCGCAGGCCCAGTGTAGGTAATCACAGCATAACAGCCACCTCTTGTCCAGAAGATAACATGTCAGTGCCCTTGTCTCTATCATTTGGCCCTTACACTTTCCTCATTATTTTCTGCATTATTCTCCAGACCTTGGAGAGGTGTGTGGCTGTTCCATTTAGGGCTGAACAAGTTTCAGTCATTTCTTCTCAGCATCATAGGCTGCCACGAGCTTCTGCATTCGCTGCTGTTCACTCAAAAAGAAGCTTCTCCAGTTGAGGTTGGGAGCCGCGTTTTAGGAGGCGGTTTGACGACATACCCCTTTACCGAAACAGCATCAGTAAGACTCATCGCCCCTCCAGCCATTTGCTTTGATCAGGCTTATAGCGACACCGGGTATACACTCAACCACATTGTCAACAAAATGACCAGCGAAAACAAAAAAATACTGTATGATAGTCTCTCAATCAGAATAAAATATACCAAATATTACTTCAGTGTGTGCGTAGAGGGTCAAATCACTGATTTTAAGATACCTTTCCAAAACTTTGGTGCTTCTTCTTTTAATAAGCAATGAGTTTCTGTACTGATGTTTTGAAATGCAGTGAACAATTTATGTGAACCTGGTTTAAAAGGATGGTGGACATATTTATGAAAACCTACTATCCAAA